TATTTAAATTTCAATGAAACCGCTATTGAAATAATTAAAAAAATTGAAATAGCAGAAAATAAATTATTGCTGGCAAATAGTAAAGAATGTATCATAGAATAACTTTCGTACTGACTACATTCTAACATACCTACCGACTCTAGAGCCCTTTATATGTCAAAATATTCAACACAGATTCATGGATATGAATGAAATATCAATAAATATAATTAATAAATATAATCAATAAATATATCGATTAAACAAAGGATAAAAAACCTGATGCTAAGAAATGGTGCGAATGAAATGACGAAAGTGATGTTGGTAGACACAACAACATTCACTAAATTTTCCTTATTTAACGATGGTCAGAAATGAACAAAAAATCATAAAAAGAGTTGGAAAGTGAATGAAAGGTCGACAAGCTTGATGTTTGCGTGCGTTTATGTGTGTATATGATTGTGTTTGTTTGTGTGTATATGAGTGTGCGTGTTTGTGTGTATATGAGTGTGTGTGTATGTGTGTGTGTGTGTATGAGTGTGTGTGTTTGTGTGTGCCCTGCTGTCAATCTTGTTTAGTTTGAAAACAATAAGAGGAAGTGCGTTGTGTTTGAGTTGGGGGGCAGTCAGTTCATATGTGATGAAATTGACAAGAACAATGACGATGGTGTTGTTGTTGATGATGATGATGATGTTGTAGATGACGACGACGATGTTGTTGTTGATAATATTGTTACTGGCAGAAATATCGATAAAAACCCCACATATACCATAACGTTTGGCAAAAAATTTAAATAAAACTTCAGTTGACTGATACAAAATACAAACTAAGGTGTAGAAAGAGGGAGAGAGAGAGAGAGAGAGAGAAAGAGAGAGAGAGAGAAAAAAAGAGGCAATAAATTAAAAACAAAACATCAACAACATATATGAAATGGACATTATACTACATCACCTTACCAAACGAACGAACAACAAATAAACAAACAAACGAACGAACGAACAAATACAGCACTAATAGCAATCACACTCATGCCTCTCCATTAATTCATCAAAATCCCAAAAGAATATCGAAAAAAAACAAATAACAGTGCTTGTGTAGCACTTCAGGATTCATTTTCAACAGCATTTTTGAGGTAAATGTTTTCTTTATCGTTAAAAAATAGAAAAAAAACAAACTAACTAACTAAAAAATTGAGAAAAACAATGAAAAACTGAAAAACAAAAAGTATAAAAAAATGTCCTCAATCGTTTGTCACCGTAATAAATGAATGTCGTCATAGCAGTGCTGTTTGTCTGTAACAGGGCAAACATGAAACGTTGCGTGGGTTGAATTAAAACATAGAGATTTTTTTTTTCGAAACATCATCATTGTAATCGTCGTCGTCATCGTCATCACCACCATATCCGTCATAATTTTATTATTGTTATTATTACTATTATCAGTATGTAAGTAGATAAGGACCTGGTAGAACAAATTAATACTTTGTATGTATGTACGTATGTATGAATTAATGTATGTATGTATGTATGTATGTATGTATCTATGTAGGCACCCAATATTGACAGATGAAATACAGATTAAATACATTTATAACAATAGAATAATGACACATCAATTAAATACATTTTTAAATGTGTTTAGATATCTATATATATATATGTGTGTGTGTGCCTAGAAAAAAATCAATAAGAAGTAAAACAATGTATGCAATGTACATTGTATATAAACGGATCAATATATATTTATTGATGGCTGAGTAACTTGGCTAAAAATATTGACGCTTCACTTATTATAACTGAATCATATCATAATTTAACAGTTGAAACGTATTGGAAATTTAAAAAAACATGTAAGATCGAAATTGTGTGCTACAGTTGAACGTTCTCTATCCTAGCTACTATACTTTAGATCTGTTCGTAATGTAACAACAACCTACTAATTTCTAAATAATTAGTTATGCAAACATTAAAGACCAGCTGAATATTTTAGAAACATTCTTGCCAGATGATTTAGTCAGCAGCAAATTGAGAGTACAACACAAGCCCGTAAGTTGAGTCATTTAAAAATATAAAGAATTCAAATGATAACAATAACAACTACTACAAAGGCTGAAGTGATAAACAGTTATAACAACATGCACTAATCTATACAACGTCATCAACAACGTCACCGTCAAAGTTCAAAGTTGTTGTTTCTCAATGATCAATCAGATAATTATAGGACCATCATCATTATAGAATTAATTACTCTCATAGCAATTATCTCTGCACTTGAACGAATTATCTTTCTACTATCGCTGCCATAATGTAGTAAACGAAAACAACGTCCGCCCAACGTAAACAAAATATTTTGATATGAAAACAAACAAAACAGATGACTGATTGTTGTTGCACAGTGTGTGCACGGTACACATTATGCAACAACAATATAGCAATTATTAAGATGGAAGATTATTTGGAGCAAAACAAGAGAACCACATAAAATGTAACGAGCCAACAGAAATAGATCATACGGATCCAAGTTCACCTCAATGTAAAAAGAACCACAAAAACGGTACATAGATCACTTGAACGAACAAAAAGCAACAGACGCCATATGAAAGACAATCATTATTCATCTTTCATTAAACTTCTCTCAAATGGTGCATAAATCTAGGGTTATGGATATTGATAAACGATATTTTAACGATTCTCCATATGCACATTGATTCAACAACATATGGATAACATTATCAATCATATTAACCAACACGTGCGTAATATTACCAATCGATAATTAATGTAGCAACTGTCTTTATTACTATTAACATCTTGACACTGACATTAATAGCTAGTATTAAGGTTGCCGTTCTTCAAAATTATTATTCATATTTCTATGAAACTAACATGATTAATTGTATACCCAACGATATTGATAACAATTAATCACCAAAGTATGATGTAGGTATGTATCACTCGACACACAACGCCAAAGTGTTAAGTAACTTTAAGTAAGTAAGTAACTTTAAGTAAGTAAGTAACTTTAAGTAACTGCTAATTCGTGCCCACCTGTGTAGTGCAAATGTTGCTGTTGTCATCGCTACTACATAAATAAATGTTTAACACATGTTTCAAACCAGATATCATGCTTCATTGTGAAAGTTAGACAGATGGAAAGGAAGAGAGGGAGAGAGAGGGAGAGAGAGAGACAGAGACAGAGAGAGACGAACAAGAAAGTAAATACAATAAACACGTTGATTAAAACAAACTGAAGCAATAAAACAGAGTTAGAAAATGTTATCTAGATGTATGAATGTACCTTTTCTAGAAACATGATTCCTCTTCTTTCTCTCTCTCTCTCCCACATAAACATCTTTTTCTACATTTTTTTAAGTCTATCTATCTATCTATTCATCCATTCAACCTGTCTAGATTTCAAACGTTTTTACACCTAGTAAGTTGTATTGTATATCGTAATGAATGCATAAACATTGCTGGCGCGAATTTTTTATCACTAACAAGAAACATTTTCATCCAATCTCCAAATCTAAGCACAGTATAAAAATATTATAAACCTGAATATTAAATTTTTGACGGGGTAAAATGAAGCTTATAGCTTACATCCGCCACGCCACACGCTACCCACACGTCAGACACCACACACACACACACACTAACAAACACACACACAAACAAACACACACACATAGACGAATGAGAATGAAGCATTGTACAGTACACCAAAATCAACCTGCTAAGTACAGGTAGGTGCATTTGCATTACACCGAAACTGATACACTTGACAATAATACCTTTGTTGAGAAGAAACACATTTGATCAATTTATACACTATTATTTAATTATTTAATAATCCATTATACATCGGCTTATAAATGCAACACGTTATATACCTATTAAACACGTGTACGAGCATTTAAAACATACACAAAGAGCGCAAACACACACACACACACACACACACACACACACACACACACACACACACACACCTGATTAAAAAATCTCTTCTACCTAATTTACTAGTAACAAATAAACATTGTTTCATCCTGTACAGACAACAACAACTCTCATGTTCAGTTCTGCATTCAGTAGGGAGGAGCGCACAAACAAGAAAGAATATGAACAAACATAAAGCAAACGAACAAACAGCATTTCATGCTAAATACTAGACTGGTTTAGAGTGATGCGTCTAAAAAGAAATACAACTTCTTCTTTGTGATTGATATGATATGATATAAAATATTTTCATACTTTAGAAAAATATATGTAATTGAGGAAGTCAGTGTTCATAATTTAGGAATCATATAACAACAGTATCATATTATATAGTAAACACATACACACACACACACAAACATATGAATGTACAGAAATTTATATTATACTTATTAGAAAAATATACATATATGGATATTATTATTGTAAAGCAAGATGTGCCTTTATTTATGTATGTATGTGTGTGTGAATGCATCTATGTGAATGCATGTGTGTGTGTGTGTATGTGTGTGTGTGTGTATATGTGTGTGTGTTTGTTTGTTTGTGTGTGTGTGTGTGTGTAAATTACATAGGTGAGAAATATTAGGCACAATTAGCAATGAACTTGGATAATGATAGATTCAACATTTCATTAATTTAATTTAATATCAAGAGGCCAGTGTTGAGTAGAATTTAATGAAAATAAAATTAAAAAAAAAAATATAAAGTAGAACAAAAACATCCTTAAAGAAATATGAGACAGGAAGAGCAGTAAAAATATATAAGCTTCTTAACGGGATTGCAGAGAATATTCATTCAATTAGATATTGAGAAAAATTGAATGAAAAATTCTTGTACATTGTCAGTGGAAAGAATGGTATGCATGACAAACATCTTTGATCAATGAAAATCACACAAAAATGTTAAAAATGTGAACAGAAGCTTGAATAAGAAGATGAAAATGATCATAAAATGACCATTATTTATCCACGATAAAATTCTGATTAAAATTAAAATATAAAATTAAATAGAAAAAAGAAATTGCAATCAAAATCTACATGTCATTCTTCGCGATGCAGGCAGCATCAATCCACTAATCATCAAAATCCTGAATGGATTTATCTTGGCAGTAACTGTCCGACCATCGCTGTCTTCAGGCAGTTCTATATCCATTTTAAAGGTGCACTCAGTGGAAGTGTTCCTACAAGTACCTTTTCCTGTGATAACTAACTTCTCGTCGATTCTCTTCACGTCAACATTTTCCTGGGGTACTTCGCTGGGAATCTTCACTGATATTGAAAACTTCAAATTTATTTCATCAGAAAAAATGATTGGCACAAAATGATGATGAGTATTTTTAAATTCAATGCTGACACACTTGCTGGGTCTTAAATACAGGTAGGAGTTTGGAATGGGTGAGCACACAATGTGTTGTAATTCAACAAAATCTGGAACTGTGGAACTGTGTAGAACAGTTGTGATGGGTTCGTTGATTGATTCGTGGGTCGCTAGTTGACTGAGTAGTTCTTCTGATGGCTGATGACACACTTTTATCATTCTGGAATTGTCAATTGAGACATAAAAATTTGAAGGTGGTTCGTCTTTGTATTTTGATGAATCAATTTTAAGTCTGAATTTTGATTTTACTGATTCTTGAGCATCAGATAATTTTTTCTTAATACTATTAACAGCTGTTGAATTTGAAGAGTGGCAAATTTTAGATAAATTCTGTTCTAATTTTACACGAGTTTCTTCATGACGAACTCGAATTATATGATGATCAGATTCATCCATGCATTTTTGTTTGTTTGCAGTCAAGTGATTACGAGCAGGCAACGGTGTAGCATTAGTGCTGCTGCTACTTGAACGTGATCCTAAATTTATGGACTTTGGGCGAATATTGTTGCTGAAAACAGAATTTGGAAATGACAGTGGAGGTGGGGAGTTTCTGTTTAAACTTCCTGAACTGTCATTCAATCCCTTACCACAAATTTGCTCCAAACTATGAGAAAGCATCATCAGAGACTCATTGTAGTTGGATGGACTGTTCCCAAGCAAAAATGCTTTTGACCCCAAAATACTTAGGATTGCATGATTTATCTACAAATGGCAAATTTGATTCCTGAGCTGGTTGGTGGTGGTGATTGATCCGTGAGATAACGATGGCTGGTGTTGGAGGAGAAGGAGGCAGAACGTTCTTTGTCAATGTTTTGCTCATCCTCTTTTTAAATTTTGTAATTCCAATCAAAATCTTATTGAACTGTTGTCAGCAATTAGCAAATTAGTTTTTGTCAAAAAAAACAATTTCATTTGGGTTGCATTGTAATTGTATTGTACAAGCTCTTTATGATTACATTACGATTACGTTGTTAAAAGCTTTGAAACTTTTTCTTCCTTAAAAATTAAAAACACGTTTTAAAAAATATAAATTGTTAGGAAGTGGCAACTATTGCATGACTTTTTTATTTTATGTCTTGTCAGATTTTAAGGTTAACAAGAGCAATTTAAAAAGTTTAACAAAAAATTAAATAAACAACAAATTAAAAATTAACTGATGAAAACTACAATATTATGAATTAGCAAACTACAAGAATAATAAACAATTTAAAACATTTACAACAAATAAATAATTAGATAAATAAACTCACGGTGCTATAATAAGCAAACAACAGAACAAAGTCATTTAAGCAAACACGCACTTGTGACTGAATTAAATGAAATAAGACTAAGTCAACACGCGAGCACATTTACGAAGAACATATGCATACAAAATGATGAGATGACAATGCTTTCCATTGTATATAAACATACATTTAATACAACATGCATGTTCACTGCAGTTTGTATATTGCATATATACAATACACGTAAGTAATACAAATCGTGTCTAATTGTATGTATACATTTTATGTGTGTGTATCGGTGCGTTGGGTATGTATTTATTTTCTATGTATATGTATGTATGTTGTTGTATGTATGTAGCTATATTCACGGGAACGCATTTATGATGGTTTTGTATTGCATGTATTAATGTTGTATGTATATGAAATTATGAGTTTTGCGTTTTTATGATGTTTACGTATGTCTTATGTTTGTGTTTGTATGTGTGTACTTGATAAACAAGACAACAAAAACAAAGTGAACAGCCGCTCGTTACCAAAAGTATGACATTCATTGAATTTATGTTTCTATTGTATAAAAATCGAAAACAAAAAAATATACAATAAAATTACAATTTATGTTTATCTACGCGCCTAAAATGTTTTTAAAGTTTTTTTTGCTTTTGAACAACGAAATCAAAATGACGTAATGTCTAGAGTGACGTCATTAGCAGCTTGTGTTGTGTGTGCGACAATGTTTAATTGTGGATAAGCCTTAAGATAAAAAAATTATGACATAGGTTTATTTACATATGAACAGGCAGGCCTAGATATTTTTTGTTTTGTATTACGTTTTTTGTTGGGATATTCATTGGTATTTACATAATTAATGGAATTTCCTTAATGATTTTACAGAGATAGTGTAAAAATATGCAAATCATCAATTACAACTGCACCTATATTTATTAAAATAAATTACAACACAATTGCAATTACGATACAATTCTAAAACTACATTACGATACAATGGCAATTATAACACTGAATCTATGTTCTTAATCTATGGTGAGCCAAACACATATATTGAATAAAAATTGTAGTATATGGCACCAACCATTAGTTCATACATAAAATTGAAATAAAAAATTACATTACAGTATAAACCAGCAAAAATTAATTATTTTTTAAAACAGTTTGAATCTTATAAAAAACTTTTTTCTATAAGCATATAAATTAAATTCTTCAGTAAGTAATCGCTAAACAGGAAACTATCTTTGCCTGACATCTGACGATTGTAAAAGTGAATTTGTTTTAAATAAAATGAATATATGTTTTAAAATGGCGATATAACATTAAAAACCTAGCGGGGCGATGATCTGAGGAAATTTTGTAATTTTGGATATCGTTTTAAATATGCCGATCTTGTAATTTAACGGATTTATTTTGCTCTGATAAACGGGTAAGTAAATTTTAATATTTTCCTTTTATGTTTTAATTTTACGCAATAAATTTAAAAATATTAAATTAAAATGTTTGTAATTAAATTATATTATATTAATAAATTAATTATTGAATTCCCATTTCAAAACGGATTATAAAAATTATTTAAAGAATCTTATTTTAATATTTTTAACTCAAACTTCACTGATCATTGGTTCAGGTTATGAAATCTTCACCAACAAATACTATATTTCCATTATCTTATGACAGAAGTAGAATTAGAATGAGGTCCAGTGAGAGAAACAGTAGTACTAGTAGTAATGTCGGGTCACCCATCAAGAGATTCTTCCTTTCCTCGTCTAGTAAAAAGAAATCAGGATTGAAGAAGAAGACATCCCGACCGACAAAACTAACTCTTTCAAGTAATAAAAGTCAAAAAAATATAGGTGAATTTTTCTCAGGTAGATCAAGTACAACACCAATTACAAGCAACAACAGTAAGACAACCCCCAGACTTAGGAAATGTTTATTTAATAATGACTCCTCTATTAAAAGCAAAACCCATTCTAAAAACACGTCCATACTGGATGAGACATCATCTTCATCATTCACTTACTCTTCAAACTTTCAGAGGTTTGTTGATGTAGATATATTAGGGCAAAGTAGCAAGCTAGATCTTCATGCTAATTTAGAAATAGTTGAATCAGTTGATGCTCAGCCATCTACAACAAAATCAGAAAATGAAAATGAGTCAGAAAAAGAAAACAGCCCAAAGATACATAAATCACATTCTACAGCAAAATTAAGTGACATAGAAAAAGAGCAACAGCATCCAAAGGCACTGATTAAACTCCATACTGCAGTTGTTAGGGAAGTTGATGGCTGCTTGGAATCAGTTAGGGAAAATTTTTCAAGGCCTGATGGATTTTATAGGTTTGTTGAAGGGGATGCAGATGAAAGGAAAGAGAAAGTTGAATATGATCTAGATGATGAGGTGTGTTTTCTTATTTTAGTTCATTCTATTTCATAGAAATTACTTTCTATCTATTTTACCTAAATATAAAAAGTTTTATTAAAATAAATCTTTATTTTTGTATTACAAAATATGATGATGGCTGATGGCATGGAAGAATTGCAGTTAAAATTTGACAGATGGAAAAGTGTTATTGAAAAGAAAGGGTTAAAAGTTAATATTGGTAAGACGAAGGTAATGGTGAGTGGGGAAGGTGGGGAGCGAGTGATAAGTAAAATAGACCCCTGTGGGGTATGTGACAGGAGAGTGAAGGCTAACTCGGTATTGTGTATAGGATGTCAAAAATGGGTGCATAAGAGATGTAGTGGTGTGAGGGGGGCACTGAAAAAGGTGGAAGACACGTTCAAATGTAAGAAATGTGTTCATGGTGTGATTAATAGGACGGACGCAAGGACGGGGTTGAGTGGTGGTATTGAAAGAGTGGAAAGCTTTGTTTACTTAGGGGATAAGCTGAACGCGGATGGAGGATGTTTGAGTGCATTTATGGCTAGAGTTCGTGTGGAATGGATGAAATTTAGGGAACTTGGTGGGGTATTGTGTGGAAAAAAATGGTCAGTGAAGATGAAAGGGAGGGTATATAAAGCATGTGTGAGAGCAGCGATGGTATATGGTGGTGAAACTTGGGTGTTGAGGAGAGAGGAGGAAAGTGTACTGCAGAGGGCTGAAAGAGCTATGGTGAGGATGATGTGTGGGGTTAAAGTGAAGGATAGGAGGAGTAGTACAGAGCTGATGTCAATGATGGGACTGAATGAGGACATTGTGACATTGATAAGGAGATCGAGATTGCGGTGGTATGGACAAGCGTTGGAGTTCGAGGTTGAAGGAGTGGTAGGAAGGGGTCGTCCGCGATTGGGATGGAGAGAGCAGGTGGAAAAGGACAGGGTGAAAGCGGGGTTGCGTGATACTGAGGTGAGTGACAGATGTGGATGGCGTCGAGGGGTATTTCGATATAGCCAAACGGCAACCCCCGATCTCGGGGAAAATGTCGTCTAAACGTGTGTTGTTGTTGTTTTGTTTTGTATTACAAAATAAACAAAACAGTGCATCTATTATTTTTAAATGATTAATTTATTTTTCAATTTTTTATTGTTTCAGTACCATCATTAACAGTAGAATAATAACTTTCTTGTTCTTTAATTAAGCACTCATTTATTGATAAAATTTTAGGACACATGCTGGCTTAATCTAGTGCGCAACACGAAGATTAATGGTATAAAGAACCTGAATGAAGATAACTTTGAGATGTGCATGGATAGGCTGGAGAAGATGGCAGCACATTTACAACTGAACTCTCTAAAAACTAATTCTGGTCAGATCAAGTCCAAACATGTTAGTCACCATTTTCAATTTCTAAATTTTGTTAAAAAATTTTTATTATAAAGTTAAATTTATGTTTAGATTCTATGAGAATTTTTTTTCTATTAAAAATTAATTATTGAATAAAAGCTGAATACATTAATTATAATTTCATTGAATGACTTTGGAATGTTTTTAAAATTAACGAATAAATACTATTACAGAGTGAACAGTTAGATGATGATGACATCTTCTGTTCCATATGTTTGGATGATGAATGTCAGAACAGCAACGTGATATTATTGTGTGACTCGTGCAACCTGGCTGTTCACCAGGAGTGCTATGGAGTGCCTCTTGTTCCAGAAGGTCATCATCTGTCTTTTTTTTATAAATTCTGTTTTCTACTAATCTGTAGATTAGATAATTTTCTTTTTCACCTATTCAATTTTTTTTCCTATTATAAAAATATGATCACTTAATAAATGAATGTAGAAGCGATGAATAATTATTATTCTCTCTAAATATTCCATGATTTTAAATTTTATTCGATAATATCAGTTAATTTTTAGATCTTTTTATTTTTGTCAACATGGTCATGAAACAAAATTGTCAACTTTGTCATGTAAATATATTTTTATATTTCATTTTGTCTCTTGTTGAAAGGTCAGTGGTTGTGTTCCTGGTGCCAATGGGAAGGTTCCAACAGAGGCAAATCAACTCCTAGGAAATCTCGATGTAAAAGTAGTAAGAATGTGAAGTTCATCACCGGCGGTGACAATGATGACGACAGCGTTGCAGTTAGTGATGGCAATGATGGGACATGCTGCTTGTGTCCTGTTGTTGGTGGAGCTCTGAAGAAAACAGACAATGGGAAGTTTGTAACATCTTATTACACATTTTAATTTTTTTTTGGTTTTACAAGTTTGATTTTAATTTTGTATTTCTATTTGTTAATCCTTTGTTCTCAAACTCTACATCATGCTTCTCACTTTATGTATCATTACTCAAAGAAATTGTTTCAAAAACTTATTTTATTTTCTCAGGTGGGCACATGTGCTGTGTGCACTGTGGATCCCAGAAGTTGGATTTGGCAGTGTGGAGTACCTGGAGCCGATCACAAAGTTAAGTGAGGTACCGACAGCCAGGCACAAACTTACTTGTTCAGTCTGCAAGAAAAAGGACGTTGGAGCCTGCATTCAGTGCATGAGGAAAAATTGTTACACTGCCTTCCACATCATGTGCGCTCAAAAGGTTCGTTTTGCTTTCAATATCTCTACTGAATAATTGTTAATACTTTGTAGGGTTTTAAATGTTTAGTATGACGTCTTATTTCTAACGAGTTATTAAAAGGTATCACTACATTTTCAGCTTTGTATTTCCATTTGAAAGCTGAAATGAAAATGCAGTGGTATTTCTTTATAATTGTATATACGACAGTCTCAACCCTAATTTTTTAAGTGTAAACATTGTTTAAATTTTCATATCATAATTCGTAATTTGTCTCACTGATCAAAATTACAATCATTGATATGTTATTTTAAGGTTGGAACATACATGCGGATAGAGCAAGGAGTGGAAGATGATGATGCTGACTCACCAACGAACATCAAAAAATCATTCCTCTGTGATATCCACAAACCTGAAGGTGCTAAACCATTTTTGCCTATGTACGAGAATGAAGATGACGACGACGACGATGACGTTAGCATGGAGGAAAGTGTTGATGCATCATGTCGATCGAAGAGGCAGCAATCTAAGATTGTTCCTAAAAGCAAGTCACAGTGCCAGTTGAGTAACAAGAAATCAGCAAATAGTCAGGGTTCAACTAAAAGTAAATTAAATTCAAAAGCAGGACTGAACAAATCAAAGTCGACATCAGCTCTTGTAACTTCCACGGTGGTCCTTGATCTCCCTACTCTATCACCCAACAAGTTTGAATCATTTTTTTTTAATTTTTATAAAAATTGTTGTGTTGTTTTATCATTGTAAAGATTTTATATATATTGTTTTTAAACATTTATATAATTTATGTTTCAGTTATTTGACTACGTTGTATGATTTAGTAATTTTGTTTTTTTATCAAAAATGTGAAGGTTGAAAGAAATAACTAAAGAATGTTTGCTCACAACAACAACAACACCACCACCATCGTCGTCGTACTCATCCTCGTCGTTGTCGTCACTGCATGACGTCATGGAGGCAGTCTACAATTATTGGCTGCTGAAGAGAAAGTCAAGAAATAATATTCCACTGTTGAAGACGTACTACACACATCTCATGTCCAACCATATGCCCAGTGTTAGTGTGTTTGTTTGTTTGTCTTCTTGAGTGTACTGCTTTTGTACTGATGTGTGTGTTTGTCTCTTTCTGTTCTTGCTGTTACTTGTAGTTTGTTTGTTTTGTTTGTTTGTCATTGGTGTTTGCTTCTTGTTTGTTGTTGCTAATGATGCAGTTTGTTATTTTTTGTTGCATTCTTGTATGTTTTTTGTGTGCTATACTGGCAATATTTTATTACTGACATTTATTTATTTATTGGAAGAAGCACAAAAAAGTAAACATAATACTTGTGATAGTGCCTTAACTAAAGTTGTCCTTTCAACCAAGTTCAACAAAAAATTCAACAAAGTTAATTGAAAATGAAGAAATTAAAAATGATGGCAATTCGTGCACGCAAACATACGTCTCAAAAATTTATACATTTGCATCTCAAAATTAAATAATGTTCGCCTCCCATAATATTGACAATTAAATAAATAAAGATTGAATCAACATGAAAAATTCACGGTAGAGGTTCATTACAGAAACAAATTCAAATATCAATTTTGGCATATTTTAAAAAGTTTATCGTTAAAGGATCATTACATAGGCAAATGCGAGAATCATGATGTTATTAACTCATTATGAAAAATTTATCGTAGAAAGTCTATTACAAAACAAATTCTATTTTTATAAAATGTTTACCGTAAAAGAACTATCACACACATTCATTTTCATTTTGAAAGTTTACCGTAAAAAGTTTACCGTTCGAAGCATATTCATGCTCCCTCAAGTACGTTAGATCCATAATTCACTCATGCACGCACACTCATGTCCACACATTCATATAGATTCATACACATTCATGCCCATTAATAAACATTCATATCCTTTCATACACATTCATAACATATTCGTGCTCCATATCAAAGTGGCCGTCTTTCTTGTTATTGATACTATAATTATTGTTATAAAAAATAAGTATTTTTATTAATTAAATAATTTTTGAGCTTATTTTTAAATAAATGGATCAAAGTAATTTCTTTTATTTCTAGCGGAATTAGCTCGTCCCAGACTCTAGGTCCTGTTATTTTTAAACTTGAATTCACTAATTTAATTCTCTGCGGTACAAAATAAAATGTATGCGCGCTTCTCAAGACTTTTGTTTTGACATTTGACGCTAGGGTAAAGAAATCTAGAAAAAATTTTAACTAATTTTAACTAAAAACATTACTAATGAGTATAGTTTATGTTGATAATATTCTTTTTATAATCAAATGATTAGAAGATGGGCAGTACTGATGACACAAAATCAGCCTACGATGGACTGAAGGATGCCAAAAAGCTGAGAAATGAGATGGAGAAGGTTTGTGTTTTAAATGTTTGTTGTATTGTCGATTGGCTGGCTGGTTGGTTGATTTTTGATTGGCTTGCTGGCTGGTTGTCAGATTTTTGATTGGCTGGCTGATTGATTGGTCGAATTTTTATTGACTAGCTCACTGGTTGGCTGTTAATAATTGTTTGGCTGGCTGGCTGGTTGTTAAATTTTTTTATAGGCTTATTGATTGGTTTTAAAATGATTTTAGTTTCTGGATGGGCGAATATTTTTTGTCTTTTGTATGATTATTTATTTCATCATTTCCTCATTGTTATTATAATTGTTTCCCCCATAGAACGATTTTTAAAACTTTTTCCACGAAATTTTTAAAGATGATTCGAGAAAAATAATTGAAGCTATTATTACTGGATGATGGCTGGTCTATGATGATGATGGCTGGTCATTGATATGATCTTGTGATATTTTACTTTTTATTAGGTCCGCCTACTGATGGAGCTGGTCAGGAAAAGGGAAAAATTGAAGTTGACAATGGTCAGTTGGGTTTATTCTTTCACAATCATTGCTATTGTTGTCATCGCACATCATCGTTGTTGTTGTTACGTCACAAACCATCAATGTCACTTTTATTCTTTCCATCCTATCTTTTTATTATTTATCAATAGTGGTATTTTATTTATCATTTTAGCTACTGCACTACTGCAATAATACACTACTATTCAACTGCTAAACTATTTAAGACATTTTTATTTCTAATCATGATGGTCATGGTAGTTAACTCATTTCATGATAATTAACTCATTTAATGATGATTAGCTCACGTTAGGATGATTTACTCAATTGATGGTTAACATATAATATCACCATTATCAGGTAAAGTTGAAGGAGCAGACGATAAACATGAAGTTAAATCCGTGGAATGCGTACCTCTGTAAGATACTGGACAGACTGCAGACTATTGACAAGTGCCATGTCTTTGCTCATCCAGTCGCTGTCGACCAGGTTGGTGGAGAAGATGTCTGCGATGTGTTGTTGTTGTTGTTGTGGTTGATGATGTGATAATCACGTTGTCGTTGTTGATGATGATATGAGGATAGTTGTTGATGATGATGTGATGTGAGATAATGTGGGATATCTCACATTGTGAGATAATGTTGTTGCTGTTGGTGATGATTGAATTTGCATTTTGTTTCAGTTTATTAGTTATTATGCAGTACAGCGCATGTTTAACTGCTGGAATAAATGCAATAATAATAGATGACATGATTGGTGCTAATGATTGCAGGTACCAGGATACAAGCAGAAAATCAAGGAACCAATGGATTTCTCGACGATGCGTTCGAAGGTTCTCACCTACAAATATGAAACATTTGAAGCTTTTGTTAGGGACTTTGATCTGATGGTCAACAACTGCTTGCTCTTCAACTCCAAGCACACTGTCTACCACAAGTCTGCTGTCAGAATGAAGAAACAGGTTCTTAATTTTCGCTGTTTCTCACGTTGCTTTTTATCATTTGCTATTTCGTGGGATGTAGAGTTTCTAGTTATTATTGGGTAAAATATTTGAATGGTTTCTGTTCTATCAAACTGAAAATGATTTGAAATTTGTTTCAGTTATTCAGTCATAAAAGTTGTATGTGTTTTAAGGCACTGGTTCATGTATAATAAGAAAAGTAAATGTCAATTGCATTAGGAGACGTGCTAAATATTTTAATCATTTATCATTTCTACACTCAACTAATTTTCTTACAAACATGTTTTTTTTTTTTTTCAAATGACTCAGTCTCAGCACGTACTGGAAGAGGAAAAGCTGAGGTTACAAAGATTCCCTAGAGAATCCCTGCCTGCATCACTTGCCAATGAGGAGATGGGAATTCCCAACTTTGTCACTGCACACGACGACTCTGATGATAAAAACAACAATGATGATGATGTTGTGTTTAAACCTAGTGATAACGAAAGCAAGGATAATGTGGTGAAAATTTGTGATGATAAGAACGACGATGAGGAAAATGATGAAACCGAAATATCGGATAACAGCAAGGTGGTGGATCGTAGCAGGCGCAACATCATCTACAGCAATGAACCCATCGACGTCGATAATGATAATGAAAATGACGATGACGACAATGAGGATGACGACCATAACATCACACTTCAGAAGACTTGTGAGAAAATTCAGACTGGCATCTGCAGGCTGAGTGACTGGGTGAAAAAGCAGAGTAGGAGAGGTACCAAGGTGGAATCAACAAACGAGAATGGCGATGATGTAAAGGCTGGGACTTGTACTGATAAAGTTGGCGTCACTGATATCTATCAGAATCATGCAGACGCTGTGGTTAACGATGCTTCACATGGTAATAGTGGTGGTCATGAGAATGACGATTCAGATGACGATAGTTTGAGAGATAGTACAATTTGTTATGCTAATGATAAAAACGGTAATGCCGATGTCACATGCAATAATGATGATGATGGTGGTGGTGAAATGATAATGGATGAAAATGTAAACGTCTGTCATACAAGTGCCAGCGACAGTTCTAATAAGGACGGTGATAATATTGCAAAGAAAAATGCAACTGCCGATGACGATGGTGATGATGATGACGACGACGATGATTGTGGGATCATCATTGAAACAATTGATCTTGTTCGTGAGAAGATGGATGGTGATGATGACGGCGTTAAAGTTGGAATGAGCTCTTCCGACCAATTTTTCAGTGAAGAAATTATCGTTGATGATGATGAAACTGATGATAATAAAAACGTCAAGTCAGCGAATGATGATGATAGCAATAAAATTGACGATGGTGATGATTTGAAATGCGATGGTGACAGCAATGATATTGTTGTTGAAACTATAAGCATAGAAGACGAGGAAGAGATTTGCGTCATTGATAAATCCGATGAGGAAGGAGAGGATGGTGGGGCATCTGACGATCGGGTGGATGAGGAGGTGAATGATAAGGAGATGCTTAGAAATAATATTCTCAGTAGATTGGATTTCATCAATCCAGAAAGTACTGATGACGCCAAAAGTAAAAGTTGTGTTGTTGATACTTATGACAACAACGGAGATCACATTATTGATGATAAGTTGTCATTTAAAAATAAGATTATTGACAACAGCTGCTGCATCGGTAACGTTCCAAGCAGCAGCAACAGTTCTTGCAACAACAGCAACACAAACATCCTTGAAAGTTCAATCAACCGTGTCAACTTCAAGAAACAGACCATAGTAAACTTTTTAACATCCCTCCTGACAACTGTGAAGAATTCATCGGAAGCAGACCTGCAAAACAATTTGAAGCTGGAGGTGAAGAATGAAAATCTCACGATAGATGGAAACAAAATCGAAAACGTGATCGGACTAAATTTGAACATTCTTCCTGCATTGAGAACATTCAACAAGCTGATGATGCTCTGCTCCCGAAATGCTGTCGACGATGAGGAGGATGAGGAGGAAGAAGAGGAGGAGGTAGCAACGACTGCGACTAAAAATCGCGAGAATTTCACACCTAACGCAAAGAGACAAAATCCGTCTGATTTTACAGCTCCTTGTTCATCATTCTCTTTATCGTCGATAGCCACTCAGAACAGGAAAAAGTTCAAAACAAGTAAATCGTTTGATATGGAAAAGTCGAAGAGCGCAAACAACAAAGCACAATTGAATAATAATAATAATAATAATAATGTCATTTATAAAGCGCCACGGCAAGTGTCTGAGGTGCCAAATTCATATTCTAAATCTGTGACTTCCATGGTCAAAGATGAGAAGGTCAGAGGTTTAGAAGTGAGAAGAACATCTGATCGACCCAAAACTGCCACACACAGATACCTTATTGATGACAATCTTTTTTTCCAAAGTACGTTTCTAGTTTCTTCTGTGCTCATTACCATATGTTGAGCGGATTAGTGTGTTCCTTTGTTTCATCAGCATAATTGGTTATGAATGACGTTTCCGACGTTCATGCATTGGATGTGTCTTGTAATTAATTATTCATTCATTTTTATTTCATTCATTTTTGACCAGGCTTAACTTCTCCTATAAAACGAAAACGGAAAACTTTTCAGCAACTGACTGACACAACGACAACAACATCGACGACTTCAACAATGACATCATCAGCAGCTTCAAAGTCAACTCTTACTAAAAACTCCAACAACAGCAACAATAACAACGATACAGATGGCCTTAATACAAACTCAGATGAGCCACCAGTTCTGTCCAGGTGTCCTTCACCTTTATATGTCAGTTACGATGATGACGACGACGATGATGACAACAACAACACCATACACTATTGTGCTGTTGAGCAGAGTAAATTCTCTAAGAAGAAAAATAAAATGTATTGCACCAATAAGAAGTCGTCATCTACGACTAGGCATAGACATCGTCCAATGAGAAAAAAATTAAAGTACTTTGCCAACACATCTCCGCCGCGATTGGTTAAAAATGTCCTTGAACCTGTTCGTCAGACTTCCAGTTCAATTGGCAAGATGTTGAGATCGAAACTAATGAAAAGCAACAAAGACAAGAATGCTTGTCGCAGGAGCAATGAAGCCCATAGAAACAAAAGTTTCAAGTGCAATGAAAAATTAAGAAGAGGAAAATCAAAGGATGATGGTATTGGTGATGTTAAGCAACAAAATTTTAATAATAATGACGAGGAAGATGATGAAGATGACGGTGATTCACTGAGTTGTAAAAAGAAAATGGCTCATACCGATGATTATTTGGAGTTAACAAATAACAACATCATGCCCGAGCTGGTAAAGAATGTTTCACAACCATCTTCATCATCGTCACCCATAGCTACCTCGTCACCATCACATGTGGACCCATCTTCGTCTGATAAGGAGATGCCAAATCTAATCACCGAGACATGTTTTATTGAAAGTAATGCTAAACATGATGACGACGGTGCCAAAGTAAGTACAAAGTGTCATCAAAAGAGTAACCCGATCACCAAGTTGAATAATGCGGGAAGTAAAAAGGGAGAACGAACTACAAACGACAATGTGGCTGCTTATGTGGATGCTGCAGATAGACCAGGCGCCGCTGATGAGACTGTAGTTGGTTCTAAAAAGATGGAGGAGAATGGTGATGCCATGGATTCTCTGTCGTGCTCACGGGATGTCGATGATTACGACGATGACGACATCATGATCGACTGTGAGGAAGTGGAAATCAGCACGGAAGATGGTGATGAGGATGAGGAGAAAGGAGGAGAGAGTGAGATGGCTACTGCAATTTGTAACGATGCAAATGGGGACACTAATGCTGATGATTGCAGTATCATTAAGATGATAGGCCCTGGTATCATCTGTGATAAGACAGTTGGGAATAAAAACAACAAGAGATGTTTCGTGGAGAGAGAAGATGAAGATGTTGATGATGAAGAAACTGATGATGATCATCATGCTAAGAAGAAAATTAAACTGGATGTAGCATCATCGTCGTTATCATCTCTGCTATCGTCATCATCATTTTCATCGTTGTTATCATCATCTTCATCATCGTTATTTTCATTGTCGACATCATTATCACCATCGGCTTCGTGTCATTCAGTCATATGCATTAAAGCTCCGTCAGTATGTTCCCTATCATCGTCGTCGTTCTCACTAGCATCATCGTCATCATCAACTTCTTCATTATCTCAGTATGTGATAAAAAATATGTCAAATGGCTATACTCCAATGCCATCAAATCTGCCGTTGCCAACGACATCGTTATCATCTTCACTAACGATAACATCTTCTTCGTCATCATCTTCATCATCATCTTCTTTGTTATCATCTTTATCCTCATCTTTTTTGTCATCATCTTCATCAGTTGTGGAGTGGAAGCCGACATCATCATCATCGTCGTCGATCGTAGTTGATTTTATTGATACGACTTCACTTGATACATCATCATCAACACCTTCATCATCATTGTCATCATCATCATTAACATCTTCATCATCAACATCTTCATCATCATCAACAGCAACAACATCTTTACCTTCGTCTTCATCTTCAACGTCATCTTGTCAGTTTTTGCCATTAAAACTCAGGTCATGTATGTCATCATTCACATCATCATCGTCAGGCACAACAACAGCTTCATGTTTATCATCTGCAAGTATTTCATCATCATTAACAACAACAACATACTCATTTTCATCATCAACAACATTGCCATCGTCATCATTAGCATCATTGCTTAAACCATTATCACCGGTTTCTTCATCAATATCGTCATCATTAACATCATCATGCATATCATCACCGACAAAAACAGTATGTTTTCTGAACACAAAATGCACTTCATCTCACGTCAAGCCCACCAGTTTGACGCCCAAACTTACACCACCACTACCACCACCAACATCTGGGTTGTGGCTGACAACTGTCAATCAACATTTTTTTTCAACTTCCGTAACGTCGTCTGTCGCCATAACTCCGACTTTCATACAATTAAATGGCACAACTACAAGCGCTACAGATGCTAATTTGTTACGAACAACTGCATCTACTGCTGCTACAGCTTCCGCTACCATTTCCGCCACAGCCACTCGGCTTCCAAGATCGCTATCGTCACCACCTGTAGAGTTTATGCTAAAGAGCGCTCATGTCATCATTGAGAAGCTTAATCATCTTAAATCACCATCACTGCCATCATCGCCATCACTATCGTCAGCAACGAGCACTGCAGCGGCTGATGATGCGGCTCCCGTTGCTGCTGCTGCTGCTGATGATAATGAGGACAGATCTCGATGATTGTCGTGACCGGTGGTGGTGATAATGATAGCGATGATGATATTATTATCATTTGAAGACTTATTTTCTCATGGATTATAGATAATAATGATAATGTCGACAATGATAAATATATAGTATATATATATATAGTGATTGATAAATTTTGTACCAATATATTAAAAATAAGGTTGACCTTTAATATTTTCATAATTTTATAAAACTTTTATTGATCGTCATTATATCACATATTATACTAATCATTCAACGTTGCAATCTTTTATTATTTTAATTAACTAATTAATCAATTATTTATAATTAGTTATAATATAATTAACGATTTGTAATCGTTCAACTGAATTATTATTTATGCATTTAACTGATTTATTTGTTTAAATCCTTAATTCTTCTGAAGTAATTTTACACCGTGCAAATCATCAGTAACATTGCTATTATCATTGTTTTTCCAGTTTTCAGCGTTATCATTTTTATTGTCATCTTCAAGCTCATCGTCCTTGTCATCGTCGTATTATCATCTTTATCATCCCACCATCGTCCTCTTCATCATCAGTTTTTATCATCACGTGATCATCGTCGTCATCCTGACCATCCTGACAAATCTATCGTGATGAACGTTTTAGTATGCATCATGCAGCACGTAACGTTTGCATTATTATTCTAACTCTACCCCGCTCCTCTATATTCTCTGTATAAACGAATTAGATTTGCATTTTAGTTGAATATTTAATTGTACTAACCAATAATTTAGCTAATTAATTACTTAGTTAATTGGATTAATGGTAATAGTAAAATCTGTATATTTTAATGACAATATTTGGATCAATTATTGAAGTGATAATTTTTTGTATCTTATATATTATAGTAGTGCTAATAAGATTCGTGTCATATAAATTAAAGTGATAAATAAATATAATTTTTCAGCATCATTTGACTGTAGTGTTTAACGCGTTAGACTCCTCTTTGTCTCTCTATCTCTTTCTTTATCTATCTATCTGTCTGTCTGTCTGTCTATCTATCTATCTATCTATCTATCTATCTATCTATCTATCTATCTATCTATCTATCTATCTATCTATCTATCTATCTATCTATCTATCTATCTGTTTGTCTCTCTCTCTTTCTTTATTTACGCGTTATACGGTTATGTTTAATGAATGATTTACTTATATTTATGTGAATAAATTTTATTTATTACAAATCCTAGTAAATTGTTCCTCAGTAACTCTAACAGGCATTATTTAATCGATAGCGAATAATGATTATACGTGAATAATTTTAATATTATTAAATAGTAATATAACAAAAGTAAAATAATAGTAATAATAATAAAAAATAATAATGATGGTAAATATAGTTTTAATATTATGCTCTCGCAAGTTATTTGCAATCGACCTCGTTTAATTCAACTGTTACATGAAGTTTCATCATTTGTTATCGATAAAATTTTTTTTCATTTCGTTATATATATATATATATATATATATATATATATATATATATATATATAGATGAAAATCACAGCATGTTCCGCGTTAGTTAATTTCCTGTCTAATTTTTCGATTTTTTTAGCGGTAGATCGTAGATAGTTGTCAAGTTTCTTGAGTTCAAAACCAAAATTTTTATTTGTTTTAAACATGATGGAACATTTAAGCATGATAGAACCAAAAAGCTTTTTTCGGTATTCCTATACCATCATCGGAGTTCGAATTGATACGTTGTGTATGTGGCCGAATGTTCAAGTATATATCCTGTGTCTCTATAATATTAATTCTTCGTTTGTTTAAAGTGAATACCTAACGATCATTTAATTAGTTATTACTTTTACGTGTCATCGTTATTGATGATTCCTCTGATTCTAAATTTATTAGTTGGAAAGATTTCAAAAATAAGCTTTTTTGTACTATCATGCTTAAATGTTCTATCATGCTTTAAATAAATACAAATTTTGGTTCTGAACTCAAGAAACTTATATATACTTGAGCATTCGGCCACATACAAAACGTTATTGTCAAGAATCCCTCTGGTGATTTTTGTGTTGAGTTTCTCTTTCAGGGGATTCTTCATTGCTCCTGACTGAACAATCATGGTAAGCCTTCTTGATAATTTGGTTGTTGTCATCCCGATGTTTTCAGAGTTTTGGTGCCCACACTCACCAATTTTGCATTTATATTTGGATTTGGTAACGCCTTAACAACCTCAGTAACCTCATTCACATTTTTCAATAAATCTTTGAATAAACTTGACCTTCATTTTTTTAATTCATGCTGAAGGTCATTAATTTTTACCGCTTGTTTTACTTTTATTGTATCTTTGGTTGTATCTTGAATGATATCTCTATTTTTACTCCAAATTATGTTTTCTGCTTCCACTAAAGCATTTCTCAATTCGCTTAGCGGCCTGCGTGCATTTTGTTTTCACTTAATTCCGCGCATATCCTGTTTCTGTTCCGAATCTGTACTTAGGTTCTAATTATCCTAATTGTATCTTCGAACTTCTCGTTCCCTGATGGCTTCCTCATAAGAAGGCGGCAATTCAATGTTAACTGCGATGTTGTACGTCGGTCGCAATACTTCATTGTTCGCCACGTGAGTTACAAGACTTACTGGGAAGGTTCCTAACGCTGATATCAGGACTGCTCGCTCAGGAATGCCATGTGTGGTTGTAGTTGGTGGTGCTGCTGATGCTGTGGTTGTTGTTGTTGTTGATGAGGTTGCAATTGTTGTTGTTGATGGTGTGATTGTTGTGGTTGATGTTTGCGAAGAAAGAAATGCTTGTTTCTCTGATGAAGAGGATGAAATGATGGGCTGAGGTGGAATTGTGGACTCGAATACAGCGCATCTCTTTGGTTTTTTATTCTTTTTCGGGACATCTATCTGGGAAGATTTGAGGTTGGTGATGTTGCTGACGCCAGAGTGGGTGGTGTTTTTGTTCCGATTGTTAGTGATGTCATCAGTGCTGGTAGCAGTAGTACCTTGTCTGATGTCATTTCTCTTATTGATGTCATCAATGTTTGTAGTAGTAGTACCTCGACTGATGTCATCTCTCATATTGATGTTTTCGTTGTAGATGTTGTGAATGTTGTTGTCATCTTCACCGTTTACATTGTTGTTCAAAGAATCGTCGTTCCGACCAACATTCGTAGTGACGTGCTTGCTCTTCTTCATTTTCCTTTTAATTTTGTTTCTAACCAGGGTTAAGTTTTCATACAATGGCGAGGTGTTGTTGATGATGTTACCAGCTTTGATGTTGTTTAAGTTGCTGTTAACAAGTTTACAAAATGAACCAATGCAACCGTTTGTGATGTTCACTGCCATTACATTAGTGTTGTTGTTATCGATAGTCGCAGCAGTAGCGGTAGTTGTAGAGGTGATGGTGATGATGTTTTCACTAACATCTGAACAATTGTTGTTGTAACGCATTGGATCACTGTTGTTGCATTTTGTTAAGTTCTTCGTGCATTTTTTTCGAGTGGAATTTTTTTCTTTCGATGGAACTTTAACGGCATGTTCTCCTGTTACACTCAGGTCACAGCTGTCGTTATTCATAATCTTTGTGGTGTTGTTGTTTGCGTTGTTGTTATTGTTGTTATCATTGTTGTTGTCAACATCTGCGTTGGCAACTTCGTAACAATTTTCATTTATATCAACTCTCTCGTTTCGTTTATTTTTCTTACTAATTGGATTGCCGCTCACGTTCCCAACGTTCTGGCTCGTTACGTCGACAACTGCACTTGTCGTGTTAGTAGTTGGTGTTGTTGTCGTGCCGCAATTACAAATATCTTTAACGATGTTAGTTGTGTTACTCAAATTATTAGTTGTTGAAGTTGTACTAGCAGCAACAGCAGAAGTAGTAGCTGTAATAGTAGTAGCTGTAGCTGTAGTAGTAGCAGCAATAGCTGTAGTGGCAATTGTAGAAGTTTTAATGACGGTATAAATATTGGATTTTGTTGAGTTGGCTTTTGTTGGCGAGTTTCGTCGTTTGGTTGTGTTTGGCAGTTCAATCTCATCGAGTGTTGGTGCCGTTGGTGTTACTGAAACAAATTGTTGATTGTCTCGTTTTTCTACGTCGCTGTTGTGCTTCTTGTTAAAGTTTACTTCCATACCTTCTTCATCTTGCGAGTTTTTCAACGGATATTCGGATATTTCTGAGTATGAAACACATTCGAGCGATTAATGACGTTAACTTATTTTTCTGATTAATGAATGAAATAATGTTAGCAATGAATGAATGAATAATAACTCATCACAAATGATCTTTATAAAAGCCATACAAGCAATTTATGTTGAAACTTTTATCTCGTTTGATGTAATAAAATAAGAGTGAACATGAATGCGGCGAAAAAACAACACGTTCGCTTTTGTTTGTTTGTACTTGCTCGTTTGCAAACAGGCTCAAAAACAAGTGTTCAAACATGTTCACTCTAAACTTATGTACGCCTTTTTCTCACACACAACAAACACACCACACAAACAGACAAACAAACACACACAGACACTACTACACAATCTCATCATTCACTCTAGACATTTAATAACAACATAAATGCTGTCGAACATTGTTCGGTAGATGGTGGTGATGATAACGAAGGTCTGAAAAAGAAGATGATGATGAAGAAGAAGAAGAAGAAGATGATGATGATAAAACTGAAAATGATGATAAAGATTACGATGGGGATAATAGTGATAATGATGTTGAAATGTCGGCAAGAAATCAACAATTTTCATGTTTGTAATGGTGAAGTTCGTGCAATTTGAAACGGAGAAAATAGAACCATTGAAATTCTTAAGATGAGAAGATGCTAATGATGACGATGATAATGAAGATCGATGATGATGGATGAGGCTAATGGTGATATTGGTGTAGTAGTGTTGGTGATCATGATGGTGGTGATGTTAGTTAGTTACACGTAACAGGATCAGTTGATCCAGATAATACATAAAGCTCCAGTTGCCAATCTTCCACCCTAATTTTGTAAACCCGTGTTTTGATTTGATAATCTT